GGTGGTGGTGGTGGTGGTGGTGGTGGTGGTGGTGTGTGTGTGCGCGCACAACTATTTACAGCTGTTACCTAGAGGCGGTTAAGGAGGGCGAGGAGAAAATTCACAGCCTCGCTTAATTTGAGCAATGAGGTTTGTGCCACAAGACTCCTTTGTATGAACTTAAAAAAAAAAAAGGCGTCTCATGGCCACCGAGTCGATTCTGGCTCATAGCTGTCCCACCGGCTCGAATGGAACTGCCTTATGTGAGTGAAAAAGCCTCATCTGTCTCCAAGGAAGAGGCTCGTGGATTCAAACTGTTGACCTTGCAGTTAGCCAGCCTAACTTGTAACCACTATCACCACCAGGGATCCCTCTCATTGATAAAGGAGCCCTCAAATGTACTCGGCTGCTAATGGAGAAAGGATGGAAGTTTGAGTCCACCCACCAGGGCCTTGGAAGAAAGGCCTGGCAACTTATTTCTGGAAAACCACCCACTGCAAGCCCCACAGAGCCCGGTTCTACTCCGACCCCAGGGTTCTGTCTCCCTGAGACTTGGCGCCAGCTGGACTCCAGGGGACAAACCACCAGGCCACGCTGACTTGGCGAGAAGCAGAGGGACTTGGCCCATCCAAATGACTCAGCAGGAGCAAACTGGCTTTCAGGGGCACACAGAGCAGGGATCTGCCGCCCAGGCCCACCGCAGGTCAGCACCTCTGGCCTCCGGCTGCTTCCTCCCGGAAGCACAGCAGCCGTGCTGCATCTCCCGGAGGGCCCCTGAGCGCACGCATCTTTATGATCATAACTTGCATCTTCCAAGCGGCCCTGTTTTCAGGACGCTATAATTAGTGAACTGTCCATAGGAGTTTCTTTAGAAAATAAATTGGGGATGCGCAGGTTTAACGACATCAGCCCCCTCCCAGCGAACATTTTGGTGCTAATGGCAGGCTCCGGGGATGGAGGTGGGGTACTTTTAATAGGCTTGTTGCTGAGAATCTCTGAGCGGGAGACCCTTGGCTGTGGATTCTGATTCCCAGTGACCCTGCAGGGCGGGGGTCTGCTGGGATGTGAACGTGATGGAGGCCACGTGCCACGGCTGCTTCCTGCGGAGGGGCTGCGGGGTTCAAAGCGCTGACCTTTTGGTCAGCAGCCAAGCCCTTCCCCACTGGGCCAGCCAGAGTCGTACCCAAATGTGTGAAGATGCAACCCTTTAAAGAAAGAGGCGTTTTCATCACCACTCGGTCGTGCAGAAGTCATCTGGTGGAAGGGCTGTTCCGAGTGGTGCCCACGAGAGAGGGAAAGGGCCCGCGCGGCCCAAGCAGGCTTGCACACCTTCAACCCTGGTTGTCTGGGGGCTCCGAGCCTGTCACTGGCTCAGTCTGAGCCCCAGCCGCAAACTGGCCACCCCGAAAGAAGCGTTCTTGATAGCTTGCGATTGACTGCACCCCTTAGAGAAATTCACAAACACAATTCATTTCTGTTTCTTGGTCCACAGTTTGCTTCTCAGAGGAGGCAGGGAAGGGGTACATCCTGGGAAAAGCACAGCCAACTGCGCTTCTCAAAGAGGCAGCCAAACTTCCTCCACCTCCCCACCTCAGGGCCCTGGCCTCCTGCCTTCCGGTACGGGCCTCCGGGGCCTGGCCAGCCCCACCCTGGCTCGCACTGGAGAACAGGCCAGTGCTTCTCACTCAGCTGACCTTATCACCATGCTCTGGTTCAGGGCTGCCCCCTGGGTACCAGCTGGCATGGAGACAGTATAGGGCTCACGGCGTGGGGGGTTGACATAGAACTGGATTGGAGAAACCTAAGGTTCATTTATGTGAGGGACAGGTCAACTCAGCCTATGAAGTTGTACACCAGGCTTTGCCAATGCCTGCAAGGGATGGGGCTTCTCCCGTCACTGCTAGTGAAGGCGGCATGATGGTTACTTTTATGAGCCCACTTGGCTGGGGCATGTTCCCAAGTGTTTAGCCAAGTGCTAGTCTAATTGCTGTCATGTAGTAGCTACATGTGGCTAAATCCGGTGCCTCAGCAGGGCAGATGGCCCTCCAGGATGGAATCTGATAGACTGTGACCATCTTCCACAGCGTGACCAAATGCAGCAGAAGCACCTGTCACGAGGTAGCACCTTCTAAAATGTCATGTAGTGCAATAGCATCAATTGGTTGCAAAGGGACTTTTCTTGGGGTGTAATCTGCCTCCAGACCATAAAGAGGTAGTTTGGTGGGGACCCGCCCCCCACCCCCTACACACCATGTGAGGATGCCTTTAAATTCAAAGAGCACCAGGGAACTCCAGGGGCTGGTAGGGAAGGAGACCACCTGGCTGGTTTCAGCTCTAGAACGGTGAGAAAATACACTACCGTTCTCTCAAGCACTGACCTGTGGTATTGACGCTGCAGCAGCACGTAGGACCTCAGACCTGGCTCTGAGCACGGCGGGAAACCCAGCACTGCTGCTGCCACCGCGCAGAAGACCACCTTCGTCAGAAGCCCATGTGCACCCTCATCAACACTGATCTTTCTCACTTGAACTCTGTGCCGCACCCCCCACCCCCGTGTGTGTGTGTGTGTGTGTGTGTGTGTGTGTGTGTGTGATGCCACAAATGTCAGGGCCTTCAAACATCAGGCCTTCTTCATTCAACAGGTCCCCAACTGCCTAAGCCTGAGTTGGCTCCACTGGGACACCCAGCTTCTACTTCTAATACTTGGTGGCTTCCTCGTGACCCAGCCCGCTTGTCCTTGGAATTTTGCTTTGTACTTTTCTGTGCGAGGCAGCTGGAGCCCAGCTGTTTGTCCTCAGTGGACGGCGGCTGCCTGCCCTCCTGCCCGCCTGCCATGCCCCCGGGAGTCTCAGGCTGGGCCCAGGGAGCCCTGCGGTCCCAGGGCCCCTAACAATCGGGTTGTTCTCTATCCCTGCATTTCTTGGTGACTGTGCTGTGCTCCAGAACCTGCTCCCCACAACCTCAACATGCACCCCCCACCCCCCAACTCATATCTCAATGTCTCAGTCCTGCAAGCCTCTCCTGACAGTGTCCTGGCCCGTCCCTTTCCTAAACAAGGGGGTTTCAGTGTGAAATTAAATCCCTATGGCTACGCAACATTACTTCGTCATCGGATCCCCGTGCCCAGGGTGCTGGCCTGGTGCAGGTGACTCGGCAGTACCATGGGGGTCAGCTCCCGGCTGCCGCACTGGCTGCCGATGACTCCCTGCATGGCCTCAAGGCAGGCAGGAGTGGGTTACTTAATAAGCAAGGGCTTCCTTGTGCTTACTCATCTTTAGTGAGCTGTTTCACAATTTCCCACCCAACAAAGAGTCTTCTAGGTAAGGCAGACAGCTCTCGCTCAATCCTAAAGCACAGTGGTTCTCAACCTGTGGGTCACGACCCCTTTGAATGTCGAACGACCTTTTCACATGGGTTGCCCCATTCATAACAGTAGCAAAACAACCGTGATGAAATAGCAACGAAAATCATTTTATGGTTGGGGGGTCACCACAACATGAGGAACTGCATTAAAGGGTCGCGGCGTGAGGAAGGTTGAGAACCATGGCTATAGCGCCTTCCTTTCTACAGAATCAAAAACCCTTTTCAAACTGATCATCTCTGACAGGGATGGAGGCCCCATTAGGCAAGGTAAGCGCAGGTTGACTGCTGCTAACTAATTTACTGACCTGCCCTGCCCATCTTGTACTGTCTCCAACGTCTGTGAACCATCATCAGCTGGGTCCCCTGGGCTGCCACCTTCTCCTCACTGACCCAAACCAGGAAGGGTACCTTCCGCTGGCACCGGTAGCAGGACGGGCCGCTGCCGCACTGCCGACTCACCTGTGCCATTGGGATATTTGTCCTTCTTGGCGCACGTCCTCCCGTTCTCCTCCAGGACGTAGCCCTCCCGGCACGCGCAGTGGTAGCTGCCCGGCGTGTTGACGCAGACGTGTGCACAGAGCGTCTTGTTGCTGCTGGCACACTCGTCGATATCTGGGTCCAAACAGAGAGACGTTGCTTCACTCTCCACCCAGCCGGGGCTGCCAGGCCTTCGTCTCTCCCAGATACAGCAGGAAGCTAGAGACGTGGGCCATCCAAGCAGCCAGCACCCTGGGCATTTCCACCCCGTGACAAACTGTGGGAGGCAGGGTTGGCTGAGACGCCACTACCCAGCCTGGTGCTTGGTGGGCTGCTTCGAGAGACCACAGCTGTCACCTGCTGACAACAGTGATGAGCAAACAGCATTAACAGGACTGTTTGCCACGACCCTAGAGTGCTGAGTGTTTTATGTCCCCTTTTATGGCTGGGGGTCCCAGGCAGCATGCTGCTGACTCAGGGTCACTTGGGAAAGACCCTTCCCAGCGGAGAGGCCTGAATGAACCTGGGAAAAGCCACTTCTTGGCAAAGCAAACAGTCATCCTGGGTCTAGCAGGGAGTGTGTTCCCCAGGAAGCATCTGCCTCCTCAACGACCCTAACAGAGTCCTTAGGAGCTGGGGCAATGAGCCGTGGGGCCACCAAGCAAGGGGCCAGTATGAGTCCTCGCTGTCCCTGCACTTCACAGGCTTGCTCCCCTGCGAGGGGCCCAGAGACCAAAAGGTTTCCCACCAGGGGGACGGGAGAGAGGCCTGAATCCATTTCCTGTCCACTGGCTGAAGGCACCAGGTGGCAGTAGGTGGGAAAGGACGCATGTAACCCCAGACTGTGCACAGGTGGTGGGCAGAGGCAGGCTGAACCAGTGGTCAGTGACCCACCTCTGGTGGCCGTGTATGTGTGCCAAGGGAGGGAGGCCATTCATCTGCTCTCTGGCTACGGGCATCAGGTAGACCTGTTGTAGACCATAAAGTCATGGCTGTGTCCTCCAGGTAAGTCCTCAGCCTGCCTTTCTCCGAGTCCCCAAGCCCTGAGTGTGAGCTGTCTGTGTGGCCTGGGGAGCGGGAAAGGGTGGCTTAGGAGGCAAACAGCTGGGACTCCGAGCAGAATGCAGGTCCCATGGATCCCCACGGCCCCATATGCAAAGAACAGGAGAGGAACCATGGCCGACTTCAGCACCCTGTGCACGGGACCGGAGTCTCAGGGAGCTACAAGACCACCACACTCGCTGCAGTGGAGACTGGGGGTCTCTGTTAACTATGTGGTCTTAACTCCATTTGCCAGGGGCCTCTGCTAGAACTGTTCCTCCATAGGTTGGCAGGGGCCCTGCTGGGGCAGAGAGGGATGAGGGGCCAGTGCTCTCTCAAACGACGGTCACTGGAGCCATTTGCGGGAGTGAAGAGTCTGGGCTCCTCTTAGGGCCGCAGGGTCGTCATGAGATCTGGCAAGGAGGCCAGGAATCTGTTGGCCTGTGTTTAAAAACAAGAACCCCCAGATGCTCCCAAGACAGGCTGGGCATGAACTGACCACGCTTAGAAACACATGGTTCCCGGGAATAAGGAGCCACAGACCGGCTTCAGAAACTCACGTGTCCATGGTTGGGAAGGCCGGTCAATGGGGGAGAGGCGGAGGGAACCAGCTGGTGGCAACCGATACGTGGCCTCTCTCAGCGGCAGCCCAGGTGGCTGGCTGCTTGCCCACCCCTCACTCACTTCAAACCGGCTGGGTTTCCTTTTATAGTTTCTCTCTCCCCGCCCCCAACCCTTTGGTCTCTTTTTCTCCCACTCCCCCCAGCTGCTTCGGAGAGACTCCTTTCTCTGTGGAGTTCCTTTGCATGTTTCCCCGATGACCAATGGTGGTCCCTACACGACGCTCCCCCCAACTAGGATGCTCCTTTCCATTGTTAACGTCCCCTGCACTGGCTCCTATAGCTCACTGCCAATCAGGACCCGAGCACCACCAAGGCTGAAGAATTTCTCCCACTTAAAACGTCTTGTGACATATCTAAATGATCGTTTTTTAAGAGGTCGTGGTCACAAGACACTTTGTAACAATCATCACACATATAGCTCGGCGGCAACGATGACGGTCTTCATACTGTTCCATACTACCACGCACGGCTCCTGATGTTTCCAACACCCTTAACAAAATGGGACTTCTTATTTTTTTTCTCTTTTTCTTTTTAACAATCATCATGGAAGGGGGAGGCTCCCGGGATAACGTCAGACACGGCCCCATCCAACAAAATATCAGGGTTGAAAGGGAAGAGTCAATTGTGCCAACAGTTTCCGGGACCGGGCCTGGGCCACCCCAGCGAGGACCACCTGAGGGAAGAGCAGCCTTAAGAGGGGGTGACGGAAGGTCACTCCACACCCACCCAGGCAGTACGGCTTCTCCCGCCTCCGGTGTCGCTCCCGGTCGTATCGGAACCCCGGGTAGCATGTGCACAGCACGCGGCCGAAGTTGTCCGTGCACTGCTGCTCACAGGGGGCCTGGGCACACACGTCAAAATCTGCGAAGGAAAGGGGCTCACGTTAACACAGGTGGCCACACGGAGCTGCTGCCAGGCCCTCGTCTGGGCTGGACGCTGAGCTCTGGGCGGCTACGTTTGTTGGCCTCGAGTTGGCTCAGACTCTTGGCGACGTCATACGAACAGAGGGAAGTCTTGCCCCCCCCCTGCCCCCATCTCTGGGGGCATCGTATGTTTAAGGTCACTCTGCTCCTAGAGAGTTTCTTTCATCCTCACTGACCTTAGAGCCTTTCAACTCTTGCGGGCCAGGAGTGTCTCCTACGTGCGCTGCAGCGGGCGACTCAGCACAGTGTCAGTGAGAGTGCACAGTAGAACGCAGAGACTCAAAGGCACAGTTTAACGCCGTGTCGTGGGGCAAAGAAGAGAGTCACTGTGCATTGTGCAATGCCAAGGATCGTAATGCAAGGCAGAGTGTCACGGTGCCAGTGCGCTGTAGAGTAGCGCCGTGAGGGAGGATCACAGCGCCCGTGCAGAGCATCATGGTGCACAGTGCACAGCAGAGGATCACAGCGCAGTGTCATGCGGAGAATCATGGCGCCCCGCAGAGCACGGTGGGGCACAGGACGACACAGCGCATCACAGTGTAACAGTGCATCACAGTCCACGAGGGAACAAACGGAGTAGCACAGCGAATAGGGTAAGAGCGCATCACAATACGACAGAGTATCCTAGTGTCCTACAGAGCGTCCTCGCAGGCAGTGTAACACAGAAGCACAGTGCACAGCGGAGCATCATAGTGTAAGAGAGTGTCGCCGTGTCACACAGAGTCTCCTAATGATCCAGTGTCCTGCCGAGGATCACAGGACGCAGTGTAATGCAGGGCATCGTTGATTGAGAGTGCCCTCACTGCCGTTTGGTCTTTGCCTCTCACCACAGAGACAAGTTGCGTTAGACACCAGGCCCTGGGTCACGTGTGGTCTTTTCTTAACCACTCACTAATGATCGAGACAGTCCCTTCATCTCTGTGAAGACCGGCCGGCCCTGGACATGGGCATGGGTGTCCCAACATGGGAGTTGGACCTGGATATCAGGAGGCTCTGGGAGGATCAGGGAGGCTTTGGCACGGAAACGCGGGTGAGTTATTAGGGAGCTGATGCACGAGTGCCTGGGAGTGGGGTCTGTGCATTCTCAAGGGGGGGGTCATTCTGCACTCAGCGAAGGGGAGGGGTGTGCTCCAATGGCTGGAGACCACTTTCCAGCCCTTCTTCTCAGCCTTGTACAAATTGGGGGTGTGTGCGCTCCATCACTCACAAAGGATTAGGCGCTCAGCATCCCAGGCTCATGCGTTGTATTTAATGGGCCCCTGAAGGGACCTGGCCCAGCACCAGGAGCTCAGAACGAGCGCTTACTCCCAGAACCGAGCTGGTCTCTCATTAATCACGGCGCTATCTTTCCAGGTGCTGACAGATAAACTGTCCTTGGACCCAGACAAGCCAGGCTTTGCTCTGCAGCATGTGAGGTGGGGCGGGCAGGCTGTCAGCCACTGACGTGGGCGGGCCCGTGTGACAAGGATCATGCCATGTCTCAGGAGATTGCCCTGGAAAGCTGCCCCAGCTCGATTTAGGGGCACTGTGAACAGCCTGCAAACAGCGCCTGGACACGCGCATCCCCTCCGGGCAGCCCAGCCCGGTGCTCAGGGCACCTGGGGGTATGGGCCATTCTGGTAGGCCAGCAGCCCAGGCAGAGAGCTCTCCAAGAACTTGGGCTATTGCAATGTCCAACAAGGCTGGGTCCCCTAGCAACATCGGACGCCCCCACCCCAGTCTCTCTCAAGCCTGCTCTGCTCGATGGCTCTTTTGATGACCATCGATCGCAGCCCCTGAACAGCAGACTTACGTCACTGCTTTTTTGGAGTTCTGTCTTAAGGACTCTCTATCGATTTCCAGGAGTCCCTCCACAGCACAAACGGTTAACGTGCTTGACAGGTAACTGAACGTTTGTCAGTTCGAGCCTACCCTGATGCACCTCGGAAGAAAGCCCAGGCAACCTCATTTCTTAACAACCCTGGGGTATAGCTCTATCTCCGGAACCCCAGACTCTCGCTTGGCGCCGTCATCTCTGACCACGCCCATGTATCTGCTGATTCTGTTTCCCCTCTTGTAATTAATTTCCAACCCGCCCCTCCTTCCTCCTGCTCAGCACTTGGACATGGCTGTTGCTCTGGCCAGGTCTTCAGCTGCCAAGAAAAACACCTTCAAGAAGCCTGTGGTCTCAGCCACGGGCTAGTTTCTCCCACTGCCACTCACAGGCTGCCTGAACACCTCCTCACACACGGGCTGCCACATTCACTGAATCGCTGCTCAGCACCGGCCCTGTTCTAGACAGAGGGGGGCAGGTCTGGCGTCAGCCCCTCCCACCTTGCCACTGCCTCGGTGAGCCTCAGTCACGTCACCTGTAGAGTAGAGGAGGTGTGATATCCACTTCACACTGCTTTCATTCGATTAAGGGTTCTTGTTGACGTAATGGGTCATGTGTTAGGCTGCCAACCTCAAGGCCAGCAGTTTGAACCCACCAGCTGCCCCATGGGAGAACGATGAGGCCATTCTGCTCTCATAAAGGCTTTCTGCCTCAGAAACTCACAGGGGCCCAGTCAACCCTGTCCTATCGGCTCACCAGGAGTCAGGATCAACTCGGTGGCAGTGAGATTTTGAGGTTTGCAGTGACAGGCATGAACGCGGACAACGCATTAATGCTGAAAGCCCCCAGCTGACCTGCCTCAGGGTCTTCCTTCGCTATAGAAACAGCTGGGGCCCCCTGTTTGTGCACCTGGCAAGGAGAGTGTCCCTGGAGCCATCAGCACAAATACAGTCCAGTTCATTGTTGAACGAAAACAAGCCTGACCCTCACAGGGCCTGGCCTTTCAAGACGACACTTTGAGAGCTGGGCTCAGCGTGCTCTTCCTGAGAAAGACCAGGCAGGATGGACTCAGGCCACCAGGTCTCCTTTTCAACCACTCAGCCCTGCAGGAGCAGTGTGCAAGCAAGCTCAGATCCTGTGTAAACAAGTGGGCGTGGCTATGTGCCAATAAAACTTTACTTACAAAAACAGGCAGGGGGCCAGATTTGGCCTGGGGGTCACAGTTTGCCAGTGCCTGACTTAGGAAGATGGCCTTCCAGGGCGGCAAATACTTAGCTGGCACATTGGCTTAGAAACTCGTTTCTTTGTACTCCCTTTTCTGAAGCCCTGAGTGGATGATAAGACTATCTAAAACAAAAACAAACAATAGAAATGTGGGTGAAGGGAGACGTCGGACAGGGCAAGACATTACAAAATAATAAGTTATAAATTATCCAGGGTTCGTGAGGGAGGGGGGAGCGGGGAGGGAGGGGAAAATGAGGAACCGATGCCAGGGGCTTAGGTGGAGAGCAAATGTTTTGAGAACGATGAGGGCAATGAATGTACAAATGTGCTTTACACAATTGATGTATGGATTGTGATGAGTTGTATGAGTCCCTAATAAAACAATAAAAAAACAAAAAAAACAAAACCCCAAAACAAACAAATGAAACCCACTGTCATCGAGTGGATTCTAACTCATAGCAAGGCTACAGGGCAGCCTAGAACTGCCCCTGTGGGTCTCCAAAGCTGGGTGCCTTATGAAAGCAGACTGCCTCATCGTTGTCCCAACAGTGGCTGGTGGGTTTGAACTTGACCTTTTACATTACGAGTCAAAGACTTTAACCATGGCACCACTAGGGCTCCTTTTTTGACTTAGGACATAGTTGACACAACCAAACCAATGGGCTTGCTTACTCATGCAGAGTAATCAACGTTTACAAAACGTCTTTGAAAAGCAACTTTTAGTACCCGGGAGACCATGTTTCCTGGAGGTTATCTGTTCTAGGTTCTATTAAAGGAGCCCTGGTGTGGTAGTTATATTATCTGTGTCCACTTGAGACTATTAAGGGTGAAAGGGGTAGAGTCTAGCCTGTCAATCAGGTTGCAGCTTGATGGCCTCATTTGGTGCTACAGAGATAAATAGCTCACGGGAAGCCAGACACACACTCTCTCTGCTACACAGTCCTGTTGACAAGCCACATGGAGCGACTCTGATGCAGCCAGAGCCCTGGAGCTGGAGGAGCCACACGGAGACCCAGTCCAGTGCTGAGATCCTTCCACCCTCACTGGATTCACAAGACTTTCCGCCCACTGGACTGTGATCTTCCTGCATTCAGCATCATTGCACGGCTGTGTGAGTCTACAGAGGAATTTATGGATTGGTATTACATATGGGCTGATATTGGACTCACGGACTTGATCTGGACTGGACTGGGTTGTTTTCTTAATATACAATTGCTCTTGGATATAAAGTTCTCTCTTACAGGCATGTGAATGTCTCCCTGGATTTGTTCCTCTATTCCACCCGGACTAACACACCTGGTATCGTAGTGGGTTATACACTGGGCTGTTGACCAGAAGGCTGCAGTTAGAATTTACTAGCCACTCCTTGGGAGCAAGATGAAGCTGTCTGCTCCCTTGACGATTTAGTCTCAGACAGAGTTCTAATCTGTCCTATAGGCTCGACATGGACCAGACCAAACTCCATCGCAGGGGTTTGGTGTGCGGGTTTTAGAATATATGATCAAGCATCAGTGCTACTGTATTCTTACTTTAGGGTGAAGGAGGCCAGTTTTAGCCTAGGCATTTGAAACCACAATATCAAACAAGGAGAGGCATTCTCATGGATACGGCATCCACAGCATGTGCCCTTAATTAGGTCAGGCAAGGCCTTTCATGGGGACCCGAGATCAATTGCTTAAAATTAGGTTTCTATTGGTATCTGCCCAATGGTAATAGAAAGGACACAGCTGGTGACTGGGCAAAGCTGGTTTAAAAGGAATTGCAAATATTTTGACTTTCGTGTTTTGTTTCCCCCTAAACGTTTTTAGCCAACAGACTTGGCCAGCAGGGAAAAATTCAGCCTTAAAACGCAGGGCCAGATGTGAAGGTCCTCCAGCCTTCCTGCCAGGGACCACAGCTAGGGTGTAGCCAACACACTCATCCTTACACGGAAGGGAGTCATAAGCAGGCGCTAGCCATTTATCTCCAACCGAGAAAGAAGCAGACACACTGGCATAGTGGTTACGGGCCGGGCTGCTCGTCACCTGGTCAGCAGTTCAAATCCACCAGCCACTCCATGGGAGAAAGATGAGGCTTTCTACTCCTGAAAAGAGCCATAGTCTCAGAACCCACAGGGGCCGGTCAACTCTGTCCTGTAAGGCTGTTGGGAGTCGGCACTGAGTTTGGTTTTGGAGTTTGGGTCAGCTGTAGCGGTCCGGTGCCATGAAGTTGATCACGCTGCCCGGCCACACGTGTGCCAGGGTAGAACTCCTCCCTCAGGTGTGGAGGCTGCAGTCCTTATGGGAACAGAACACCTGGTTTTTTCCCTGCGGAGCCACTAGGGCAAACGTCTCTGTTAGCAGCTGAGGGCTTAGCTGTCTCACTGCCACAGATGGGCAGCTGCATTTGGAGAGCCGAGCCGTGAAGTTGTTTAGAGGCTCTGAGAGACCTGGCTTCTCGGGCAACGGTGACGGGAAGACTTTATCTCCCCCCTTGCACTTCCGCTCCAGACCCAGGCAAACGCACTTCTGTCGTCTCCGTCAGCGCTCTGCGACGCTCCTCTTCTTCCTTGTGAAGTCCCGGCCCGCTGTCACCTAAGTGCAGTCTCCCTCCTTCCCGGACAGCCTGATGGTCCTGGCCCGAGGCACGCCTGCACGGAGCTGTGCCCAGTGCACACACTGCAAGCCTGCCTCGTTCACTGAGCTCTCAGAGCCAAGCCCTGTGGCACAGTGCTGACAGCACTCAGCTGCTAACTGAAAGGTTGGTGGTTCAAACCCACCAGGAGGAAGCTGTGCAGTCTGCTTCCTTCAGTAGGAAAGCCTGTAAACCCTTTGAGGCAGTTCTATGCTGCCCTGCCCTCTAGAGTTGCCATGGCGAGCTGGGATTGACCGAGTGGCAATGGGTTGGGGTTTTGGGCTAATAAGAGCCTCCAGGACGAGTACGCGGTGCAGTGTTCTTCAGTGAGCTTAAGAGAGGAGACCGCGTTAGAGCTCACATTCTGAGCACCCGGCTTGTAGAAGCCGTGGGTGGCAGCGAAAGCCCACCATCCTCTTGCGGAGTCCCCGGCATGGACTAATCCCCTGTCCCTAGACAGGGCAAGGGAACCAGAAAGGCTGCAGCTCTACTTAGGGCAGCGGTTCTGCCTGTGGGTCAAGACTCCTTTGGGGGGTCGAACGACCCTTTCACAGGGGTTGCCCGATTCATAACAGTAGCAAAATTACAGTGATGAATTAGCAACGAAAATAACTTTATGGCTGGGGGTCACCACAATATGAGGAACTGTGTGAAAGGGTTGCGGCATTAGGAAGGTTGAGAACCACTGCTTGATGACTAGTTTCTTAGGGTTGACAGGAGAGGATGGGGGAAGCGGGGAGCTAATCATAAATAGGTCCCAGAATGAAGAAGATGTTTGACAGTTGTGGTGATGTACGCACAGTGTTCTTTACTATGTTTAGACCACTGAACTGTATGCTATATGTGTGAGATATCAATAAAACTCCTTTAAAAACAGTAACTGCATGATTCAAAAACTAGCATTTCCCTGAAAACTAAGGTGTTTCAAGAGCAACTTTCCCCAGGCCGCAGCTAGGAGGGGATGGAAGCAGGATTATAATCTCAGTCATCTGACCCCAACCTATCTTCCCCGTCCTCTGCATGCCAGAGCTGGGTTCCCATCATACACCACTCTCTCTCCCATATGCCACTCTCTCTCCCACATGCCTCTCTCTCTCCCACGTGCCACTCTCTCTCCCATGCGCCACTCTCTCTCCCACGCGCCACTCTCCCATACACCACTCTCTCTCCCATACGCCATTCTCTCTTCCATACACCATTCTCTCTCCGATACACCACTCTCTCTCCCGTGCGCCACTCTCTCTCCCATACGCCACTCTCTCTTCCCATACGCCACTCTCTCTCCCATACACCACTCTCTCTCCCATACACCACTCTCTCTCCCATACGCCACTCTCTCTCCCATACGCCACTCTCTCTCCATACACCACTCTCTCTCCCATACGCCACTCTCTCTTCCATACACCATTCTCTCTCCCATACACCACTCTCTCTCCCATACACCACTCTCTCTCCCATACACCACTCTC